ACACACACACACACATATATATATACACACACATATACATATATATATATATATACAGAAAGTATTATGTATAGGGGGAGGAAATTTGGCAGGAGCTGAAGGGGAAAAGGAGAAGATAATTCCAAGGAGAAGCAATAGCATAAGCAAAAGCCTTGAGGGACAGTGTCCATGGCCAATCTGAAGAACTACAGGCAGTCTGTGGTTGCCAGTGTGATATGCGAGCGGAATGACAGAAACAGTCAAGCCCTGATTTTGCCAGGCCTTTGGACCCTGGTGGCGCAGTGGTTAAGGCAATCCACTGCTAACCGAAAGGTCGGTGGTTGGAAACCACCAGCAGCTCCACAGGAGAAAGTTGTGGCAGTCTGCTTCTGCAGAGATTTACAGCCTTGGAGACCCTATGGAGTCACTATGAGTCAGAATCTACTTGACATCAGTGGGTGGGTGGTTTGGACCATGGAGCCCTGGTGGTACAGTGGTTAAGAGCTCAGCTGCCAACCAAAAGGTCAGCAGTTTAAATTCACCAGCTGCTCCTTGAAAATTCTATAGGGCAGTTCTACTCTGTCCTACAGGATTGCTATGAGTTGGAATCGACTTGACAGCAATGGGTTTGGTGTTTTTTTCTTTTTCTTTTTTGGACCATGGCAAGGGGTTTGGATTTCATAGTGTAGGTAACTGGGCATCAATGAAGAGTTTAAGGTAGAGGGTTTATATGTCAGATACCCCTGGATAGACCTACTCTGGCAAGTAAACAGAAGATGAATTTGAAGTAGACAAGACTCAAGGCAAGAGGATCAGTTAGGAGGCTGTTTCAGGGCTCCAGACAAAGATGATAAGAGACTAAACTAGGGGAATAGTAAAAGAGAATAAAAGTAGAAAAAACACTTGAGAAATGCTTGAGAATCACCAGAACTTTAAGATTGATTAGGTGAGAAGATGAGAGACAAAAAAGAATTAATGTTGACTAGATTTCTAGTTGGTGACTATACTTTAATTCATCTTTTTTAATGTATACACATACACAGAATCATTTTACATAAATGGGAATATGATACATGTCATTTCCCCTTCTTATCTCTCACTGACATAATGTTAAAAATCCATGTTCTTAAAATCATATAAAAACATCTATAGGGTTATTATGTCATTGTTTTGCAAAAGTGGAATAATACGTATAAAATATATAATATATAATATAAATAAGTACCGGTAGTTCCTGACTTATGATATAGTCAAGTTATGATGAATGACATATTTGAGTTATGAAGAACTGCACTAACGACTATTTTGTTTTGTTTTTGTACATCTTATTGTTAGTAATATGTACTACATACAATGTTACAGTACCTAATTTGCTGAAGCTATCATTCTCAGATGTTCACTCACAGATGTTCAATTTTATGATTTCCTGCTCAAAACACTGCTATATAGCAGGCTATGGCCTGGTCTGCAATGAAGTTGGTGTTGGTGTCAGGAGTTGTAATGGATAGAAAGTTGGGCAATATTCAACTCTAACAACATATGACAATTGAACCATAAATGCACCTGACAGCCGTTAGGACTCCAACTTCATTGTTACAACACCAACACCAACTTCACTGTAGACCAGGCCTATACCATGATCTTATTCACCATTCTGTACCATAAGAAACATCAGTTTTTAATTTGAAGCCGAGTTGTACAAGTTTCTCTAACAGTTAACACCTGCACTGCTTATACCCAACAGTGTGTCCAGCAAAAGAAGTCATGCCACTGGAAGTTCTACTCCAAAAAAAGGTGAGGAAGGCTCTAGATATGGATATAAAGATGAAGATCATTAAACCCCATGATAATGGGAAGAAAGTCGGTGAAGTAGCACATGAGGAAGGACGGTCTCGTTTGATCGTTTCGGCAATCATTAAGGATAAGAATAGGATTTTGGAGGAAGTTAAAGGAGTGACTGGCATAAA